TAAACAAATTATATCTAATTAATCTTATATTTTAAATTGTTTTACCTGTCCTGCATTTTGGTTCACACATACTTTTTGTTTCTTCTGTTTCTTCACATTTAACTTTTGGGGCCTTCTCTGTGGACAAGTGGCCTTGTTGTGACCTATCTCCTTGCAAATACTACATCTGATTTTCTTTCCAGCCTTAGAAACCCTGTGTGTTCCTGTATTCTCTGTAGTGGATTTCTTCCTCTTAGTAGTTGGCCTACCAGGCATCCTTCTATTAATAGGAGGCAATGGTGGAGTATAGTTTGTCTCTGGCCACATGTCACTGCTATTCATGGGAGCAATTCTGTAATTGTATGCCTTTCTAAATGTGGTTGTGCTAAACATGTTGTCTACATAGGCTTCTACATCCCTATTAAGAAAGGATATGCTAGCTACAGAATGAGCACATCCATATCCATTCAATTGCCACAACCTACATGAGCATTTTTCTTTCTAAGTCCACCTCATATGCATCTATTGCTCCCCTTACCTCAAACTGGTTTAATCCACTTGGTAGTACCTGATAATGCCTTTGAGCTTTTTTAAGCAAATTCACCTTATTCCTTATCTCTGGACAAATATGATTTCCCATTGTTGTCCCTTTAATTTCATGTTGTAGATTCTGTCCATCATGTATAATCTTATCTCCTCTAACATGGTTATTATGGGCTTCTTCCTAGCATCTACTATTACAGCATTAAAACTTTCTGAGAACCCATTTTTAACTGCATCACAACACCTTCCAGTTTGAAAAAAAGCTCTAGACCATGTTTTAGGATCTTTCTCCATGAGATATTGATGGGCTTCTAGGTTCAATGTCTCAATTTCTTTCATCACAACTTTAAAAGCATGCTCAGTTGTGGCTTTAGATGCTCTCCAAAACAAGGTATGATATATGGCACCAGTAAATCTCTTCTGCAAATTCTGGCAAATATGTCTAGCACACTACCTGTGCTCTACATATGGCAGCAACTCTTTAACAGCCTCTATCAAACCCTGTATTAGTAAAAAGGTTAAATTCAGATAGTCTAAAATTAACATAAATGCATTACTATGTAAAATACTAATCTTATGTTGGTCTGACATTAAACTGAAACCATTGCCTAAATTCAAGTGTAGATCATCAATGAGAAGCTCTAGAAACCACTTCCAATTCTGCTTGTTCTCCACATTAACCACTGCCCAAGCAATAGGATATATCTTGTCATTTGCATCCCTCCCAATAGCACAAAGCAATTCTCCCTTACAAACACCTTTAAGAAAACATCCATCAAGAACAATTACCCTTCTACATCCTTCAATCCAACCTTGTTTAACTCCTTGAAAACAACAATAGAACTTGCTAAAATATTTCTTTCCATCTGGCCCATCCTCCATATCTAGTTTCACAGTTGACCCAAGATTTGTCCTTAAAATCTCATGACCATATGACCATAGCTTACCATAATGTTCAACAAGGTTTCCTTCAACAAGTTTCAGTGCATACTTCTTTGCTCTTCTACATTGCCCATACTAACTTGGATACCAAACTTGGCCATTACCTTTAACCTAAGCTTCCTTACACTTATTTTCTGACTTTCTACAATCTCTTTGGTATAGTGACTCCCAATCCATGCATATGTCACCAATGATCCAAACTTGAAGTTCCTAGCACAATTATGATCAGCTTTTAGTGACTTGATTTGGAAACTCTCTTCATCACTCATCCAGGAAGCCCATAATCTAAATGTGCAAGCACTTTTGCTACACCTCACCAAAAGTCTTGTCCTATAATTTTTTTCAAAACACAATTGATATCCATTAGCTACAGCATAGTTACACAACATTGATTTTACTTGCCCTGGAACCTTAAATCTCATCCCTAGAATTGGTTTTTGTTTTTTCCAGTGTAATAGCTCATTAAATATGGAATGAGCTTGTATGTTAACTTCAACTTCTCTCCCATTTTCATCATCTACAATGTTGTTTGCATCCTCATCATCAACACATAGCTTACTCAAGAAAGGATCATTTGATGTCCTACTCATATGCACTACATCCTCATTAAATTCAAAGGAAACATTTCTAAGTTCATCTATGTTGTCTTCATTTTCACCATCAATACAAGACTCATGTTCATCATCATCATTATCTTCATCATCATGCCACCCATCAACACCAACCCCAATATGATCCACATAAACCGAAATTACACCATCTGTTCCATAAGCATCAAAAATAAAAGCAGAATATTCCACATCATCTGAAATGGGATTAAGCCCTTCCATGAAGGACATGTCTGGTTCACAGTAGTAAAACTTTTTACACTCTTCATGCATGAAACGTTCGCAGAAGGTCACAAACTCAGAATAAGTCATAGAAGAAAAGTCAACATCATTGAAGATGGTTTTAACACCACCAGTGTAAGAGAAAGGATTTCGATTAAATACCCCTTGGTAGTTGAGTTCCACCATTGCAAACAGTCCATTAGGTTCCGATTGTGCCATTGCTGCGAGTTCTTTGTTCCTTTCAGCTCGATCACAAGAATGCTTCACAAACCCTAAATTAGTTTCTTTTACAGCTCAATAATGAAGAAGAAGACTAGTGAAGTTCGATAGCTGAAGACGAAAGGCTTTAAGCGTCGTATTTCATTAATTGACGTGGTATATCTCACGTGGCATCGGATTAGACAAAAAATATATATTAATTGACAAAATGGCATCGTATAACCGGGAAACCTTCTAAAAGTTGCTAAAATTAATGGTGTAATTAAAAGGTCAGTTACGAGTTTAATGGTCTAATGTACCAAACCAAATTAGCCAAATGTTAAAAGTTTCATGTGCTACAGTGACATTATCCCCCAAAACAAACTTAAGAAGTGTTGTCGGACAGTCGGACCTCCAATATAAAGAAGTTTAATCTGCTATGAGGATAATTTCTTTTTGAATTTGTCTATAATAGCCTTCCAACCAGACAAACGATGCATCATATCACCCACTGAGAGCCCCGTATAAGAGAAAAGTAATTTTGAAACTTTACATCTAGTCAACTCTACAAGTGGAATCACCACCAATTGAGAAACATTAATTCCAAAAAGATTGGATTTTTATGGATTGATTTAATGTCAATAAACCATGTAAAAACATTTTAACAAAGTTATAATGTTAATAATATTGTCTATGCTCCACTCTTTAAATAATACAGCGTCGTCTGCATAAAAGAGATTAGACAATATGAGATCTTCTTCTCTAATAGAAAATCCACAGTACAACTTGACATCCATAGCTTCTTTAACCACAACATCCAATGCTTCGTGGGTGTTTGGGATAGCTTTTAAAAAAAAGCTTATTAGCTTTTTAAAAAGCTAATAAGCTAAAAAAGTATTTGTCTATTTAAAAAGTGTTTTTTAAAACAACTTTTGGATGGGAAAAAATAAAGCTTTCAAAAAGTTGGAAAATCCTAGCTTTTTAGCTTTTTAATCATTTTACTCATGAAAAAACAACTTTTCGCATCCAAACACTTTTTAAAACCAGCTTTTCCTAAAAACTATAAGCTAATAAGCACTTTTCTTAAAAATCACTTTTGACATAAAAAAGCTAACACAAACATACCCTTCCATGGCTAAAATACAAAGGAACGGTGATAAATGATCGTCTTTTCTCAACCCCTTTTTATAGAAAATTCATTAGTGGAATTTTCATTTATCGATGCTGAAGATCGAACATTAGAGAGACATGCCCGAATCATATCACACCATTTAGCAGAGAAACCCATAAAATTCATAATTATTAAAAGAAATGTCAAGAAAGGGAATCGTAAGTTTTCTCAAAATCTACTTTAAAATTCATGGCTTTCTTCTTCTTCTTCCACTTGCACGAGTCCACTAACCCGTTAACTACCAAAGGTCCATCTAAAAACTATCACTCCTTAATGAATGTTGGCTATTCTGTACTCACAACATAATCTACCATCTTAGCCAAGCAAAGAGATAAAATCGTAGCTATTACTTTATATTGAACTCCGATAAGGGTAATAGGCCGATAATCTTTAATAGGAAGTGGAATTATCACCTTTGGAATAAAGATGATAAAAGAAGAATTACAACCAGGCGAAATATGAGGAAATTTGAAAAAAGTGCATCACAAACCCATACACATTCTTTTTAACTAATTCTCAATATCTTTTGATGAAAGAAAACGTAAATCCATATGGTGTTGGAGCTTTATCGCTCCCACAAGCCCATACTGCATCTCTAACCTCCTCCAAAGTTGGCATCGAGTCAAGCAAGTATTTGATCTGATGTTAAATTCCAAAACCAAGAGCTACGATTAATAACTCGAGCACAATTAAATACGTCAAACTTTTCCTTATAAAACTTTAAAAACCGGCTTTAATTCTATCTGGTTGCGTTACCCAATCATCATCCACCTTGATATCTTTTATAGTTTTTTGACGGCATTTTTATGATGATATTATGATGTAACTCATAATAAAAACACATTTATATTTCGATTACACAACATTCTTACAATTGTTTGTATAAAATACTAACGTATTTACAAAGTTGAACTTTAGAGTTCAGATTAAAAAGATAATGTCGATACTCAATAAAAAATATCACAACTAAAGCCGCTATTTATAACATATCGTAAATAAATTTTGATGTTTGGGAAAAATTAAAGTATTTTTTTTTTTTTTCTATTTTTTATTTTTATTATTATTTTTTTAGTTATTTTAGTTATTTTTTAAAAAGCACGTAAGTTTTACCAGTTTGAAACCCTGACCCCAAACCACATGGGGATGTAAACCCACTGCATCAAGCCAGTTGAACTGGCCATCACTTGCTTTTAGTTATTTAACCCAACAAACAAACACACATAAGTTGATAAAAATATAATACATTTATATTGGGTTTAGATATATTACTTTAATATTGGGGTTTAACATTAAGTTGACCCAAAAATAATACAACTAAATCACCAATATGTAATCCATGATGAATATAAGTATAAACTCTTGTCGTTTGTAAATTTATTTAAGTTTCAAAAAATTATTTAGTGACTTTTACAGATTTATTTCTCTTATTAAGGGTATTTAAAGTTGTTTACTTTAAAATGTTTATCAACATGGATTGATAGTTAATAATTACTTTTCCAAATGTTTAAATAAAAATATAAAAAATATTTATTAATTCAAATAATTAGTTTTTGATGAATTATTTTTTCAAATTGTTTGAAAATGTGTAATCACCGAAATCATGCTTCAAATAAATATTAGTTATATATTATTTTTGGGTATTGTTAATGTCTAAAGCCCAGTATAAAAGTTAATGTCTAAGCCCATTATGCTAATAACTTATCACTTATGTGTTTGACATTTTGACAACTTAACACATGATATATTCGTTTTCTAATGACATTATCTGAAAATAACTTAATAAGGTAATTAACTTTTTGATTTCTTCACATCTGGATAACTATTTTTTTACATATCTAGGTAACGAACTTTTTGGAAGTGTTCACATATAACTATTATGATCGGCTGTAGCAGGTTACATCCGATCATAACCGGTCATAATGGTCATATGTGAACACTTCTAAAAAGTTCGTTACCTAGATGTGTACAAAAAAAAAAATAGTTACCCAGATGTGAAAAAACCGAAAAGGTAAAAATAAATTACATGAATGGTCCTTATAGTTTGGGTAATTTGTGCGTTTGGTCCTTAACTTATTTTTTAACTTGGATAATCCATACTTTTTATTTTTATTGTGCTTTTTGTCCCTGTCTTACCTCAAAAGACTATTAGGCCTTTTTTAATTTATTTTTTAATTAAATTTCTTATTTATATATTTTAAAAAATTACTAGACCCCATGTATGAGAGATGAGATGGTGACTAGTGGGACTGAGATTAAATTTCTCGAATGCGGTTTCATGTTTAGGTGAGAAGATACAAATATGTGGGGTCTATTAGTTTTTTAAAATATATAAAAAATAAATACAAAAATAAGGAAATTAATTTAAAAAATAAAAAAAAGGCACAATAGTGTTTTGATGTAAGACAGGAACCAAACACATACAAAAAAAAAATAAACAGTAGAGATCATCCAAGTTCAAAAATAAGTTAGGGACCAAACGCACAAATTGATGAAACTACAGGGACCATTCGTGTAATTTACTCTTACCTTTTCGGTTGTTCACATCTGGGGGTAACTATCTTTTTTTGTATACATCTAGGTAACGAACTTTTAGGAAGTGTTCACATATGACCATTATGACCGGATGTAACCTGTTATAGCCGGTCATAATGGTCATATGTGAACATTTTCAAAAAGTTTGTTACATAAATATGTACAAAAAAAAATTATCCAGATGTAAATAAACCAAAAAGTTAATTACCTTGTTAAGTCTATTTCCCTTGCCTGTTTGCCATCACCAAGTCATGTTTGAAACATTTTATATAAACGAGCCAACACAATTAACGGTGAAAATGGGTTGAAAACTTGAAATACGTTTTTTTTTCCACACAAAATCCGAACTTAATTTACATTTCCTATAAATGGCTGTCACAGAAGTTAATTTTTAAAGATTGTATCAATATCAGCGTCATTAATCTAAAGTTCGACTTTGTAAATAAACAATTAAACAGTAAAATATATTGCATAGATTAATAAAAAAAATAGTAGAATACGTTGTTATTTCCTACAAATTGCGCACAATTACATCATCCACTATTTCATGTTTTGTGTATCAAGATATTCAAAAAGAAAATTTCAATATCTATCTATAAACATCATTATGAAAAAAGTAAATCGTACCCCTAACAGTAATTTCATACATATCGCAAAGTTATTAGGAGATTGTGCATCAGTATGTATTTGATCCTAAAATTTCATGTCAGAATTATACACCCCTAAAATTTCATTTGATCCTAAGTTTAGAGTGTGCATGATCATAAAAGTTATATAAGTTTATATAATTATAAAATAAGAAGTCTTGAATGGGGAATAAAACTGAAATGGGTGGTCAAGTTTCTTAGCGACCAATCGCATTATGAAGCCTCGTAGTGGAATAATGGAAATACTCCATGTTGAAAAAGTTGAAACGTCTTCATCAACCACCAAAAGAATGTATTAATATTTTTTTTTTTTTTGTTTCTTTTAATAAAATCCGATCTGTCATATTATATAGTATGATTTATCTTCATCAAGAGAAGGTATCCGTGAAAATACACCTTGAAATATCCAAATCTTCATCGATTTTGTGGGTGATCATGGATGATTGAAATCGATTAATCAACCGAGTTAAAATACAATAAATATTGAAATTATTCCTCAAGAATCATGAAAAAAGTACATATACAACCCCTCTATTTTCCTAATATGCACCATTTAGCCCCCATTAAAATATAAAACAACCAAAACTATTCAAGAATCAGCCACACCTTGAATTCGAATGTTAAGCCTACGAAGCCAAACCGAATGTAGTATCATATGAAAAACATCATACCTTTTTGGAGGAAAATTAACCTCAAAATGCCGTCTAACTTGTTTCCCTCTCATCTGCATTCTCAAATATTGTCTTGTAGATATACCAGTTAAGATCTTTTTAAGGTTCGGGATATCTTCAACCGTGAGTATAACTGCAAATGATTTCCAATTTAAGACATCGCTAAATGGGGCAACGTAACCATCCTTGATGAGAACCGGCACACAACCTGTATAAAGTGCTTCCACCATTCTTGGGCTTGCCACCTCATAACCACTCGGGGAAATGCAATATTTACTTTGTCGCAACATGGCCATGTACGAAACACCCTTTGGAAGGTACTTGTGGACTTGCAGGTCAGGGTCTTTGTCCTGCCAATACTCTAGAAGTATTGGCCTAATAGGACCATGTACCCCACCTGCAAAAAATGCCAAAACGGGTCGGTACCTTGGTGATGGCCCATTTAGTATCCCATGTGTCGTTCCATCTGGGAGTAAAATCTCTGGGATGGACACGTCTTTCGTAGGATTAAACCCTTCTGATATATTCGCATTGCATAGAGCTCGAATAGAGTTCTTGAAAAGGTAAGGAACTGCTTTCGACAACTCCGGACCCTAAAAAACGTTACCACTTCAGAATCATATGACTAAAATGAAAACCACATAAAAACTACGTACACAAAATACTACTTACCCAATCGTGGCAAGCAACTGTAAAATGATCGGCTCCTAAACTGCGATTCCAAAAAGGGTACTTGGATCCCACAAGATCGACATAATCTTTAATCGTTTGCTTCATGGGAAGCCAATGGTCAACATTTGGATTACGCTCAAATATATAGTGTACCATCATCGTTGCACTCATCGGGAGGAAAAACACATGTGCTTTTTCGGGGTTTTTTGTTCGATATTTAGTGGTTTCCATTTGGTATATAAAGTTACCTTCCATTGCATATATGTTTTTGCAAGGTCCATCATGAAATATCGGGGGTTCTCCTTCTTCATACACAAACACCTTGAATTGCTTCTCCATCTCCAAATAACTCCTATATATATGACAAAGTATGAGTCAACTTTGAAGTCAAAAATATGAAATATAATAGGAAGGTAAGTAACACCCATGTGGTCCCACAAAATAATTATATAGATAAACCAGAATATCCCTATAATATTGCACATACTAAGATATTGTGGATAAAGTACAATTCATCAATGCATAATTAAGAAAAAAAACATATATAATTACCGTTGAAAAGCAGCTGCACTCCAATACATAGGACCATCCGGGACATAATCCGGATCATGAGTTTTATTCCCGGATTCAGCTTCTTTGATTGCTGCTCGAGCGCGTCCGAGACGAGCTTCGAGTTTATCCAAACTCGTGGATTTCCTATTGATTTGTGCATCAACAGGAAATCCATGAGTTTGATTAACAGACACGAAAATGTCTGGTCCACTCATCACATTCATGTCATCTTCCTTGGCAATAGCCTGTCAAGATTCTGTAAGTTAGTACAATTTCTTTATAAGAACTTGTAGTTATGCTCTAAATGTTGGACGTTTCTATATTCTTAGAAACTGACTATGCTCATTTTCTGAAAAAGAAAAAGTTTACCCAATTTAGGTAATTAGCGGTTTACGTAAACAGGAAAGATTAGAAGGACACAAGCTCTCAGTAACATCCTAAAAGAAAACATGAAAAGAGACAAATGATGGCGTAGAAAGAATATTTTCATATGAAGGGTCCTTATCCGCATATACTTCAGCAAGTTCAAAAAAATATTAAAAGGAATTTCACTTTGACTTTTCATGCCAAAAAAAGCATAAAAAATGAACTATTTTAAAATGAATCGGATCAACGTAAAAAATTATTTTAAAAAGAATACGATTCAATTTCATACTATTTTACTCATATATAATTCTCTATACAAAAAATTTCTTTGCAAAAGAAATAAATGGCAAAAATATAGGTGTTGCTTTTTAATGGGTCGGGTCGACCCGAAACACTTTTATCTCATTTACAGCTAATTTTGTTCTATTTTTGAGAAACCCCCGATTCAACCGGCTAGTTTTAACACGTTGCTTGTTTGGCCTAAATCACCCAAATAAATCCAATGGTCAATTAGCCAACTCAGTATACAAACAATACGTACAAAACAACTGATCACATTTTTTTTGAAGTTCACAAAACAACAATATAATGCGATTGAGAACAAAAGTTTATTAATCATCAATTTTAAATTTTGGTTAACCTTAAGAATTAAAAAAGTTAATAACCTTGATCAATTTATAAGCATATATTAATGGATTTTGGCTACATGAAATGAGTTAAAATGATTTGAATTAAGTCTATTCACAAAATTAAACAATTATTGTAATATTTAGGTATTTATAATCTTAAATATGAAAAAAAAAAATGGTGAAATTAGTGTTTATAGGATACTTCAAACCAGTATCACACCAATTAATATGCATTTACATTTCCAATGTCCGAATTAAACTCTTTTGACCAAATTTTAGATTTAATTTATTTATTATTCATTTAAATTGAAATTAATTTCATTGAATTAGAATTAGGATATCAAAAAACCTGATTAATTATTTAAAATTATGTGTAAAATCAAGTGTGAACAGGGAACTTACAGGCAACTCAACGTCCATTTCATCTTCCATAGCCAACGGTGGATAAGAAGAATTAGAAGTCTGATGAAACACATAATCTTCCGATGGCCCTTCAGCCACCTCACCACCACCTTCGACCACCGTTGGCCGTTGCCCCAATGACACAGAACCCACCGCTGCCACCGCTTCGTTATCTTTAATTGCAGAAGTAGAATAAGAAGTAATCACAGAACTCCAAACCCAAGGGTAATACTTTGACCCATCCGCCAAGTTTGACTTTTTAACCCCAATAAACACAGCAACCACCATAAACGGCAGAATCAGCCATAGAAGCTTCATGGATGAGGTGGCTGAATTCCGCCATGAACCCATCTCTTCTTCTCTTTTTCTCTCTCTCTCTACAAAACCCTGTTCTTAAGGTCACCGAAAATTCATCTCCCAGTTTTCAATTCTGGAATAAGATACCTTACCAAAAAGCAAACCACTACTTCCTTGCCTTCTGTTCTTTTCTCTCTCTAAACTTTCATGTTCTCTCTTTGTCTCTCTATATATGTACATATATATATACACTGTATCTATAGGTTTCTCTCTCTAGAAACAGAAGAAGTTTTACAATTGGTGAAAGATGGTTGCGCCATCACGCCAAGCGTCTCGTCTCGTATTGTTTTGCTCTCTGTTTTCGAGTTGTTCATGCAAAAAAAGTATTTAATTCTGATTAAATATTTGTTTTTTTGCATTAATTTTACGGTTATGTCCCTCAATGCTTTAACCGATGATCTCATAAATTTCTCTTTCTTTGGGTATTGCTTGTTTATTATACGCGCAGAAGTGGTGTTTGAAATACACTCGCGCTATACATCGTTGGATTTGAAGATGATGATATGAACGCATGCGTATGAGAACAGGGCGGTGAGATTTGGGTCCATTTAAGACATTGCCGCTTCAAAACACAAGTGATCTGATTTACTTGCCTATTTTTAGTGTTACGAGTTAATTGACATAAATGCCCTTGCTTCTTTTTTTTCCACAAAAAATCAATTTTCATAATGCTATTTTGTTGAGAAAATTACAAATTTAATCTAATTCATTTATTATTTTGGTGGATAATAACCAAAAAAAACTTAAATTATATTTTTAGTTATTAAAATTGCAGATGGATTAAGCTCATCTGCAATTTCAATAAACATCTGTAAATATACAAGTTGCTAAAGCACAACGATTTGTATATTTGCAGATGATTTTTTTTTCTAGTATAAATATATGTACTCTATACTTAAAATTATAGATGAATTAAGTTTATCTGCGATTTCCTCTCATTCCAACTGCGAAGCAACCTTATTTTATATAAGGTTTTGTAAAAAATTATTACTTTAGTTAATATTTATTTGGAAATTTTCTATAAAATCTCTCAAATAAAATGAATGATATTTGGTTTGCATTGTAACCAGCGGAAGGTGGAAAGTTATGGAAACAAATCTTGAATACGTATGTCTACATGCAGGTATTTTTAGATCCGCTTTGATATTTTCCGAGTATATTAGTTATAGTAAGTTTGTACCGGTTTGTTAGACAAATATAAAATTAGTCTTCGTTTCCATCATTCTGAATTGAATCATTATATAGCCATAGTTAAAGACATGGATATTAAAATGTTGATCAACGTAATCAAATCGATTGGAGGAAGGGCTGTGAAAGTTTTGTGGTGGCTGATGAAGGTGATGCGGTTACGAAGGGTGGCAAGAGTGGAAATGATTCGGTTGCTAAGTTATGCAACGATAAATGGATCAACAATACAATAGGTACTTTCATGACTCCTAGTGTACCTTAGTTTCATAGTGTTGCTGAAAATATTAATGTGAGGTATTCACATATTCACTATGTGGATCCTGAAAATTACAAGTACGTTGGCGATGATGATATTGGTACATATCTTAATAACGTGGGTGGTCGTTATGTTGATTTTCTCCAACAAGAAGTTAAAGTTATGAAAATGGGATGTAGTAGATAATAGTAAAAAGAAAAAAGTTATGGTTCAGAAAGATGAAAATGTACATGCTTACAAGGATTTTGTTGATGTTTCTGATGTAGCTTTAGACATAACCGACTTAGAAAACAATTTTGATGGAGATAAGTTGGGTGATGAACATAAAACTTGTTGGATTAGGTGTCTAAGCCCATAATTATAATTGATGTGTACTTGATTTGATAGTAGCATGGTCCTTTTGAGTTACCTTCACCCTAGCAACTTGACATGATAACTTTTGGAGAGAGAGGTTGAATTTATCATTTGGAAACATAAATTGATTTATTAATGTATTATGAAAATAATATATTAATTACAAATCATGTTATTTAATTATTATTTAATCAGAAATTAATTTGGAATTAATTTGGGGATTAAATGAACTGATTAAAAGGAACATGAGCTGTTTTACAAATCATTGATAGTTATGAAATTGGGCTATTGGACTCCTTACAATGGAGTGGACGAAAATTATAGGAAGCCCAATGAGATTTTCGTCCAAGGCCTCTAGATGAGGAGTCCATGGGCTGCTTAAACCTTAAGCAGGAAATTAACGTTTCCTCCAGAAAACCCTAGTAGCCCATAGGTTGTAGTTATGCTCAAAACTCATCAATGGTATCAGAGTCTATGGTGATTTTCAGTTGAATTTGATGCATATGTGAATTGTCCAAAGGAGGAGGGAACAAATTCATCAATATGTTCATCAGACTCGATGAGTTCACTACCCAGAACTTGACAAGTTGACTCGTCAGATCCCTGTTTTTTTCGATTTTCATATCTTGATTTGATTAGGATAATTGCCTTAATTCGTTTTTATTGCTTAAAATTGAATTTTCTGAAAAGGTAATGGTATATCCTTATCAATATAATTGATTTGGTCAAATTTTAAGATAAAGACAAAATTAATTTATTAATTTAATTATTTGAAATTTGATCTAGTATTTTTGAAAAAGTTTTAAAAATACACCTTTGGTTTCGAAATTTAAAATTTCATTAAAAGTATAATGTTGAAATTTTAAATTTTGGAACCCTAGTATTTTAAAAGGTTTAAAGTACACCCTTTTGGCTGTTGTTAATAATTTAATTAAATGTTAAATTAAAAGATAATTAATAAAAATCCATAAAAGGATTTAAATTTAATCAAACATCAATGGTAAATCCTTAGTATTTTAAAATTTTAAAATATACATTTATACTATTCTATAATTAAAAGTTTAATCTCTCTCTCTCTCTCTCTCTCTCTCTCTCTCTCTATATATATATATATATATATATATATATATATATATATATATATATAAGAAAAACCAGTCTTACCATTAGTAGACTTCATTCACGAAGCTGGTCTATAACGGGTGTTTAAGGAAGCGGCCTGTAAAATGACCGCCATTGGGTATCCATTCTTACCACCGCACTCTTGACTAGTGGAGGATCGTTAGCCGAACGGGTAGGATAGGACACTAAACTCTCATTAAAAGTATAATGACATAAAGTAACTAAATAAAATCCCATTCTTATTTACTTTAGGAAAAATGTGAATTTGATACTAACCCATGAAATTGCACATTGCACCTTATTGGTCGTTAATGGAGCATGTCTGGTTAACCAACATACTAATATGAGACCAATATTGTTGGCAATGGGTGTCTCATAAATTATCATTTATCAATGGAGCGTGTGTGGTTAACAGACATATTAAATAGGTGATAAATGATATCAAGAATATCAAGCTAATTTGCATGGTTATTCACATCTCGTTTGTGATCCACGGCATCCTAGTCACAAAGTGAGAACATAATCGAGATCAAACATGTTATTGAATAGTTCAATGAATCTCAAAAGATCTAAGAGTTTCATTTGATTGAAACCGGTAATTGCTTACCTACCTAAAATAGATTCGGATTTGATTACGACATCCCTCTTCAGAATTCGAATAGAAAATATGGATCCTAGCCTTAATTTAAAAATGTTGGGTTAATAATTAAAGATTATATAAATCAACTAACTTGAATTCTTTTCTTCCTTTATAGATGCCACGTTCATACAACTATGGTCTTCCTGGTAATGTTTTTCCTTCTCTTTCTAATGATGATCTTCCACAAGTTGGTCAAGGTAAAAGGATCTTCCCTTCTTCAAATGGTGGAACTAGAAATGACACTTCTCCAACTCTTCCTTCACCACCTCCAGTGATTCTCCCCGACCTATATTTTCATTAACTTGAAAAGTTCAAGATTACTCAAGCCCTATTTGTAACGACCCAAATTTCACATCCAAAAATTTTGTTTTTAAATCAATACTTTAGAAAACATTTGTAAATAAAACATTGTCTGATCAAACCATTTCATAACATACATCGTGCCTGAAAACCAAAATATGAAAACAATCAAATATCAGAGTACAAAAGCCCAGAATAACTCATGGTACGGAAAACAATGTGCGTGTATGATGTGCCGCTACCGCGCCAACTCCTTTCCCTTCGATGAAGAGGTACCTGAAAACAAAACTATAAACCGTAAGCACGAAGCTTAGTGAGTTCCCCCATTGTACCACATACCATATAACCACATATCATACATATATTGTCATACATATCTGGGTGCCCGACCTACTCCTTCGGTCCTCTCGACCGGACACTAACTAGCATATCTGGGTACTGGTCTCCCCTTCGGTCCTCTCGACCGGATAATGATAGCATATCTGGGTGCTGGTCTCCCCTTCGGTCCTCTCGACCGGATACAGGGGAGTATTTCACCCCCTACTACTACCACATAACACATATCACATAATTTATCTAGCATGGTTGGGCATGACTGCCCCTTCGGCCCTATTGACCGGTAATCTGGGGACTATTTCCCCTACTGTTACTAGCACATAGCATCATATCATTCTAGCACATAAACATATCACAGGTAGTAGCAACCCTAGATGAATATCACAGAGACAATCATTTGATCATACAATTCCTGTTGGTGGGCCGGCATTGTGGCCGTAGACCCACTGCTACTGGAAGGTAACTCACTTCGAAAAGTAGCTGCTGAAAGTCTGCTTGCTAAGTGCCTGACTGCTGAACTGGTAATCCTCTGGCAATAAATCATAAACATAGATTAGCCACTCATAAATACCCTTAGGTAAGATGATTGACCCACCCCTGGTCCAAGGTCAACTCCTTGGTCAAAGTCAACTTCCAGTTGACTGGACTTCATGGCACCGACTCACCGAGTCCTTCTCCTACTAACCCGGTCCTACTTGACAAGTCCATCTTCCCACTCACTAAGTCACCCTTAACTCACTACTTGGGACGATAGAACCGGCTCGCAATCCGACTCGCCGAGTCTAAGAACAACTCGCCGAGTCCACACGAGCAGATCTCCTACTCGCTTCCAAATCCTCACCAGAGCATCCTTTATGAGGATTTGGGTTTCTAGGACTATTGCTACATGTTACATTGCTAATTCCGCATGCAGATACGAAGGTTTAGACCTTCAACACCTAAACCCTTCTTACTCAGTAACAGTTCATATGACTTGTCGAGTTTGAAGAACAACTCGTCGAGTTCTAGGCAATCTTCATAGGACTCGCCGAGTTGTTTATCCAACTCGCCGAGTCTAAGACCATCTCCATAGAACTCGTCGAGTTCCACTTTGGGACTCGCCGGCTCCCTTCGACCCACTTCCCATACAGACCAAATCTGAG